CGGGGCGCAAGGCGGCGGGGCGGCGATGGCTTGCGGCGGCGGCGGCTCCGGCTGTGGGGCTCCAGGGGGGCCCCCCGGGTCAGTTTATAAAGGGGGGGCGGGTGGGGGCGGTGGTTTGCGGGAGGGGCTGAGGCGGCGTGGCCCTCCCGGACTCGGCGGCGGCGGCGATCGGGACTCCGGTCCCGATCCGGATGCGGGAGGCGGCGGCGGCTGGGCCTTCGGCCCAGTCGGGTGCGGGGGAGTTTTTTTTAATAATCCCGCCGAACTAAGAAAAATCCTAGAAAAATAAATAAAATCTAAAAATGCCAAAACAAATATTCACCGTCTAAATAAAATATTTAGAACAGGATGAACATTTTCTTGGCCCTAAAGTGCAGTTTTGAAAACGTGCATTTTTTCCTAAATTCAAATAAAATAGCCAGAAAATCCGAAATAAAATCTTACTTGATTTTTTTAAAAACCTTCAATATTTCTTTATTTTGGGAAAGTCATTTTATTCCCTCTCTCATATTTTTATTATAGAAATAATTGAAGATAAAATAAATAAAATCAATGATCCTGTTTTTCCAAAATTTGAGAAAACTCAAATATGAAAATAACGAAATCCCCAACTCTCTCCGTGGGTCCTTGAGTTGTGTAGAATTTTTGGATCAGGCCAAAACCAAAAAAAATATGATATGTAGTGATGACCTAATGTATAACATTCCAAATTAAAAATTTGGGATGTTACATGTTGCTTGTACGAGTAAATTGGGGGCAACACTAAATTTAGGAATATCTTGTATTTAGCAATTAGTATGCTTATTCATTTAACCTAATTTGGGGTATTTTAACGGAATTCAATGTTTAAGTCTGAGCGGCAACTTGTATATTTTTGTATGCTTAGTTCTCTTATGAAGCATATATATTGCTAATCATACATGTATTTTGCGATCAATATGGGTAAATATAAGTATAAATTTTCCTGAAGGGTACAAGTTCTTGTTTGTTGAAGTTGTTTTTTCCTTGTCTTTGCACCCCATAGATTCTTGTCAAGCTCCGCTACTGTTACCTTGCACCAAACCATGTCATGTACAAAAATCTGGCACAGATCACAGCGAAAAAACAGTCTGGACATTTGCGTAGTTACAATGAAATCTCTTCGAAACATCTTCTCCGTGGCATCAATATTCGCAAGACAAAATTCTGCCTACATCAGTAAAGAGACTGCAATCGGACTAGAGCAGCGATGCTGCCACTTGTTCACCTACACAAACTTGATTACCTATAATTATTTTCGGAAGCTATGAGCGATTGACGTACTTGGGCCGGGATGATCCCCTGGAAGCGCGTGCCGTCAAATCACAAAGTCATCACCACAGTGTGAATGAAAAGTCCTAACTTCACAAGCAACCAAACCAACAAAAGCTACATGACACATTAACATAACCTCATCAGATCTGAATAACCGGCTTCGAAGGCTATAGATTAGGCCGGAGACAACATTTAGGAATGTCCCACACGAGACAGACAAATGGTGGGTTGTTCAGGCCCAGCCTGCACGTTCCAGCCCACCACCGTGCGGGCCAGGCCATCGCATCGCACTCACAATGCGCTCAAGTGAGCTGGCCCGGACGCCTACCACATCATCACTGCTTAGCATTCTTGTGGAGAGAAAAAGGAGAGAATGTGACGCCATTGATGAGTCCGCAGAAGCTTCGTGTCCCGCCATTGACCACGGGAGGGAGGGCAGCCAATGGGGGAGAACTAGGAGGGGTCAATCCGTGCGTGAGCCATTACGTAGGTAGCCAAGCCACCGCCCGCTCTCCGCCTCTCGCCGTCCGCCGACGCCACACGCAAGCAATTTTTAATCCCCCGCCGAGCGCCCCAACCACCGCCGTCTGGCTCCCTTTCTCCACTCCGGGCACGAGGGGAGAATAATCTAATCTAATTGGCCCAGTGCGCGCCACGCCTGCCGCCACTAGCTCCACTCTCGCCGCCGAATCAATCAGGATCCCCCTCGGGCTCGCTCCAGCTAATCCGGCCGGCCCTTTCCGGCTCCGGCCGCGGTG